CGGAGCCTGGGCGCTGCGCCCCCCGCCAAGCTTCTTGCTGGCGCCGCCTCCGGGCGCGCAGTCCGCGCCGGAGGGTCTCGGCTGTGGCCGCGGCCGTTATCGTCGCCTGGCGCTGCGGTGGCTCTCGGGGGTTGTGAGAAGGCAGCGGCAGCCCGTCGCCGGTGGCCGCTGGAGCCGACCTGCGAGGGGGACGACGACGGGGGCACCGGAACCGCGGCTGTGGTCGGGCTGGCTCCTTGGCGATTGCAAGTCCCGGGTTGCAGGGTCCGGACTGCCCCCGGGGCGGCGGCCGGCTGGGATGGCAAGATAGCGGCGCGGGAGCGGTCGGTGAGTGCGGGGGCGCGGCGCGGCAGCCTGGAGCGCGTGCGGGGGAGGGAAGGGGGGGGCGCGTCCCCGGCCCTGGGGCAGCGCTGCTGCTCGGGCTCGCGCCGCCCGTGCCAGCCCAGGGTCAACCCTGCTGCCCGCGTGGGCGCGGACTGCACCGCGCCGAACTTGTGCGGCGCGAAGGGCAAGTGAGTTCCAAGGCCAGAGGTGACCAGGGGGGACGGAAAGGACCTTTAACTCCCCATTTGGAGCTGCGACCTGCCAGATGGTATCTTGCCTCTCTGAACCTCTTGCGCCTCAGCAAAGTAGTTCCTGGTCCTTTCTGCTTTTATGGTGCATTTTGACATGACCTGTCCGTATTGCTAGGTGCTTGTGTCACGCAGGCGCTAAACTTACTAAAACCCCAAGTTAAAAGTGTAGGCGAGCGAAGTTAGGCTTTGTGATTGGTGTGGCATTCCTGATGTGTTGTCTAAAAGCACAAAGCTGGGATCGTCAATTCAGAGGCATAGACAACGGCACAGAATGTGTTGTGAGCTTACATGAGAGCTTGAGTAATGAGATTCTGCCCCCCCCCCCCCCCCCCGTCTTCAGCTACCAAAACACAAGCCTTTCATATACACTTGGGTTATCTTTGTGTCCGTTTTCTGTCTGCGTGTTTAAAGCAATCAGATATCGATAGGACACGTGCGCCTTTATTGACTGACATTTATATGGAAATACGTTCTCTGCATTTACTTTGTGTTCCCTTAAAGTATTTTTTTTTTCCAGCAAAACTTTCAGTTTAAAGTTTGCCATCCAATTTGTCTTCAGCTGCAAATTTAATTCAACAAAATTTCTTGGAGTCAAGCTGCTGTGACTTATTTAGTCAGGGGTTCAAAAGTGGTGCCCACATTATACTTAAAGCAGCCCCCCCCATGTGAAACTAAAGCAATTGTTTATTGCGACTGATGCTCTCCCCTCCCCTTACACGATTATTTTGACACGTATCTGAAGTCATACTCCACTAGGAGCAGAGGCTTCTAATCTAAGGCTGGTTGAGGAAAACAGACCTCAGCATAGCCTGTGCTTTTAAAAACACGAGATTGCGCTCTTTGTGTTTTTCCCAGACTGTTTTGTCTTATAAAAGGTGGACACTGTTCATTTGGAGGCTTCATTGGAGAATCTTAAGCTCAGTTAAAATATGAGGTATATTTTCAAGGAGGCCTGAGCGGCTATTTGCTCTCCCAGAGTTGAACTGAGGTATATTTGCTTTGTAATAGGTGAGATCACAAGCCGCTCTGCTCTCATTAGTGGAGACTTGGATTCTCTTCTGGGAACTGAGAACTGGGTGCTGTGCTGTTAAGCCCAATGAAACTTCTCTGATTTAAAAACAAACAAACAAACAAACAAACAAACAAAAAACTTTTGCTTCTGAAGACTCATTCTTGAGGTCGATGTTAGTATAAATGATCATGTGAAGATGTTATTATATTAATGGTGGGATGTCCCTTTGTGTTGGAGAAGATTCAACAGTTCTGGAAAGTTCAGAGTAAAAAGCACACCTCTCTCCCACCACACCCTCACAGCATCTGTAAGAACAGGGCTTCCTGCCTCTTGTCTCTCTCTCTCCAAATGTAGCCAAACGCTTTGCAAACATTGTGCTCTTTCTGTATTCTGACTGGCTGGGATACATTGTCTACCCTGTTCTGTCTGCTTCTTCCTAAATCCTGACGGTCTCATCAGTCCTCTAGGAAAGCTGCCTTACTCTTACAGCAGCTGGGAACTCCATTAAGGACGAACCATACTTTATCTAAGTTTCTCTCTCTTGATAGGTATACACATTATTTCTCATATCTTGCTGTGAAGTTGTTGTAAAGCCAGGTTTTTTTTTTTTTTCTTTTTCTGAGGCTCTTAAGTGGATTTCAGATATTCTCAGGGCAGGGCCCAAAGACAGCAGTGAGTTGCTTCTTTAACATTGCAGGAAGTGGATGCCTGCTCTGCCCAGTGCACATCCTTTGCTTTTCTGACTCCAGAGTGACCCATAGGGATTTGTGGCATCTTTGCTGTGAAGTGAGAGCTTTGATGGTCAGGACCTCAAGTCATTCCCTTAATGACAGCTTGGGCCCTGTTTCATCAGCAGAATGTAACAAATGTGCAATTATAAGTGTAATCTACCAAGCCAGATGTGGCGCCTTTAATCCCAGCACTCAGCAGGCAGGGGCGGGTGGAACTCTGCGAGTTCTAGCCTAGGCAGCGGAGTTCCAAGTCAGGGCTATATAATGAGACCCTGTCTTAAAAAAAAATCTTAAGAGTTTAAATGATTTGAATATGCATTGAAGGCTCATGCCTTTTAGTAAACTGACAGGACGGTTTTGTGTTTCAGAAAATTTGCTTGTCACTAGGATAAAATCTGTGCTTTTTGTGGTAGATCACCACTTTCTTCTACTTCAGTGTGAAGAAATTGCTTTCACACCTTTATAGTTTGGGAAAGGATTATTGCCAACTCTTGGGGGAAGGATGCTTTTAAAAATATTTGTCCTTGGCATCTCTTAGAGTGATTTTTGAAGCAGAATAAATTGTAGAGGTTAAGTAGTGCTAATGCTTGGTCATGCTGCATTATGTAGCCTGATGTGACCACATGTGGAGGTTGTATGTTTTGTTTTGCTTTGCTTTTTTCTTCCATAAGCTGTGAGGATCCTTTCAAAAATTTAATTAAAACCCCATTGACTCTGTTAGTATTTAGGGTGTTGCCTTTTTTTATTTGTTATTTGGGACCTAACATTGTGGTATCAATACAAAAGTGTTAATACTATCCATATTTGTTCTTAAGAAATGGGTGTTTATCAGTCCTCTGTTAATATTCCAAGCAATTTTCAGGGGAACTGAGATCCAGATGTGTACAGGATAAACAGACTGGCTGTCATGAGTTTCCATCTGAATTTTGGAGATGAGTAAAAAATCCAGGGAACAGTGAGGATCATATCAGGTAGTGGTAAGGACCAGGGAAACAAGACATAGCATGACTGGGTTAGAGGGGACCATGGGGAGGACGCTGCCTGAGGGTTGAGGTCGAAGGAGCCTCTCTTGGGTAGAAAGGTTGGAGCTGAGGACGGAATTCTTCAGAAGCAGCAGCGTGTGATTTTGGTGAACGGGGCAGTGTAGCTCAGGCAGAAGACACTGTGAGCGCCAGTGCGCTAGGTGACCTAGGGCCACCCCTGTGCTGTGCTGATGGTGGGGGAGAAGGGGAGTCTGCTAGCATGTTCTGGGATGGATGTGCTGCATATGGTTTAGAGGTGTGCGGCCAAAGTGGAAGATGGAAGATTCCTCCATGGGCTGGGTGGCTTCAGGAGTTCAGGGCGAGTCTGGCTGTTTGCTGTTGCATGTGCAGCAGAGACTCCACCTGCTGTGGGCTTTACTTGTTGAATAAATGAGCGAGTAAATAAAGAGTTTAAAAAATAATCTGCAGCAGGAATCTGAAATGGGCTTATTCATAAGAACAAACCTGGAGCCAGGTATTGGGGTGAATGCTGGAAGATCAGAGAAGCAGAACAAGCCACAGCCACCTCACCTTGCCAGTTCCTCAGCTGATCCTGTTTCCTCAGACTGGAAGCCTCTGAGTCCTCATCCAAATGGATCTCAGCTGAACTGTTTGTTGCTCAAAAGCCTAAAAGCTTAACCAGCTCTAGTTCGTGGTCCTCACGCTTTATATACCTTTCTGCTTTCTGTCATCACTTTCTGGGATTAAAGGCTCACTTATTGGGACTAAAGGTGTGTGTCACCATGCCTGGCTGTTTCCAATGTGGCCTTGAACTCACAGAGATCCAGAGGGATTTCTGCCTCTGGAATGCTGGGATTAAAGGTATGTGCTACCATTGCCTATCCTCTATGTTTAATATTGTGGCTGTTCTGTCTCTGACCCCAGATAAGTTTATTAGGGTGCACAATATTTTGGGGAACATAATACCACCACATCTCCCCTTTTTTGTCTAAAATTTAAAAAAGCTTATAACTAATACAAGAAAAATTATATCCAATAAGTATATACAATATACACAGTCAAGATTACATTAACGATGTCTAGTCCATTAACATTTGACAGATTCAGACAAAAAACTCCATTAATATATAACAATGTCCAGTCCAGTAACATTTGATAAACTCAAAAAAATTTCATTACTTATCCTATTTAAAACAAGTAGTTCCTTTTAAAAAGTAGATTCCATAATCTCCCTTTTTTATCTTATCATATCCATATTCATTGCCCGGTTTTTGGTCAAAATTATTATTATTATTATTATTATTATTATTATTATTATTATTATTGGGTTTTGGAGACAGGATTTTTCAGTGTAACCAGGCTGGCCTCGAACTCACGGAGATTGGCTTGCCTCTCTGCTGGGATTAAAGGTGGGTGCCACCATGGGCCACAGTTCTTAGTCAGGAGTCTTGGTTCTGGCCCTTGACCGTACCACGCCTGTTACAGTTAACACACTCTCCAGTCAGGGCTTTGAGACAGTTGTACTCCTTCTTCTGCCATGAAATCCAAGTCGGAAATGCTCAAAACAAAACAAAACAAAGCTCTTTGTAGTAAATCATGGTGATTTCTGAGAGAGATTTAGTCCTTATTATCATGGTTGATTCCAGCAGAGTAGCCATTTACATGGGAATAGAAGTTTCCGACGCCTTTTTTGTGGATGGATGTTTAGGTTCTTTGGGCATGCGGCTGACTAATGGGCTGTTCAGAAGTGTGTGTTACGCTCAGGTACTTTATTCTCACAGGAGGAATGTGTGTGTGTGCCTGCTCTATTTTGGGAAATAGCAGGAACTTGTGGTATTTCCTCTTCCCCACTCCTAATCTGTTTGCCATTCTAAATATATGTTCCTTTATATTAATTGAAAGCTTGGGAAACGGGTTTGATGCCAAGCAATTGTTGCAGCGAATGTAGTAAGAGTCCCGTCTTCCTGCTGACTGACTGCTGGGCTCCCGTTCTGCATCAGGGGTTCTGTAATCTTGCAGAACGGGA